ATTAATTCCAAGCAAAAATAAAGTATTTTACAGTATGCATCATTGCAGCTGCCAAGTTTACAGTACTTTCTTTGCTTAACCACAATATCCTCACCCTTGCTTTGTAAGGGCATGGAAGGTAGTAGGGAGGAAATAGGACGAATTTTAGTCCAGATTTATATATTTATTTATATATTATTTTGTTTCAAGCCTTATGGTCATTGTCTATTTTTTCTTTCAAAACGTTATCTCTTCCGCTTATTTACTCAACAAAATAGGAATGACTTCTAATTTTTAGAACTAAAAAAAAATTTTGACCAGAATTTTGTATAATCATACGAGAAAAGAGGCAGCAGTATACAAGGCCTGTCACTGGAAATAAAATACTTGCATGAGAAGATGATGGAGTGCTTTACTGTTCCTGTAATTGTTTCATACACAGTGGCGGATCCAGAGGGGGGGCCAGGGGGGATATGGCCCCTCCCAAACTCATGACGATTCATATCATCTGGATTACGCATAGCTTCTCTGCAATTTATGCTCCGTATATCTTAAGCGAAGCTTGGACCCCCCAATACATTTTGCTGGATCCGCCACTGTTCATACATATTTGAAAGGTCCAAGTGGGGTTTTCTACCAGATACTTTCAGATAAGCTCAGTCGATTACATGTGCGCTGATGTGATGTGATGTGATGTTTTACACAACAGTTTTGCCACCATATTCATGACAAACTGACTTTTAAATAAGTTGTGTATACAAAATATGATGGTAGGAACTTAATATTGGAATAAAATATCTTTATATTGCAAAGATCTGTGATCAGTCATGTTGTGTGATTTTGGTGTCAATTCATCTCCATAAAACTCTGACTGCTTCCGAGCTGACCTGAATACTGATTATTCTTATTCTATGACTTTTCTTTCGTTTTAAAAACTGAGATCGCTGGTGCCTTCATCCCTTGTCTATTTAAATTTCTCTTGACCTATAATTACGGTGACTGAGATTTATATGCTTGCCCATGATTACACACATAATTACATTACCGTGAGGAAGATATTGTAGCTAGGTGCAACTGATATTTATTTGTCTTCTATTTGCAATGTTTTGTATTCTGTAATTGCAATGTCATTTTGTTGGGTTAAAGGTCAAAAGGGCAGATCACTGATTTCATCGGTAGTATTCATTGTGACTTTATATCAAAAATAAATATTCCCCTGTATGCAAGCAATTTTTTATGTTTGAGTATTTAGTGTGCCGATCTAGATCCTTATTTAGCAAGCTCAAATCTAAGCTCACCTTCTGTGATGCTGTCGTTTCTTGTTGCGCCTTGGCTTTGTGTTTGTAGATTCACTATGCCCTGAGAGTCGATTGCAAGTGATTCGTTGAGTTGTTCGTTTTTCTGTTGGTCGCTGTGTTTCCTGATGTCAGGCTTTTCATCTCCAAAGGCCTTCACCCCCTGGACGAGTTTTCTCAGCACGCTACGCTGGCCGATCGGCAGACCGAGTGCCAAAACGTCTTGCTCCGCTAAGGTTGATAGGATTTCGGTCGATGTAATGGACTCAGTTGTTAATTTTTGGATTGTGTCTTTTGACAGCTTACAGCTTTCGCACCATTCGGTGAATGTAAAATCGGCTTGATTCGACATTTTCAACAGCAAAAAAATTGTAAAAAAAAAAAGCGAACAGGTGAATAATAACTGAATGCAATGGCTGCAACATCCGGGATACTGCCTCGATCTCGCCCAGTTGTCAAGTGTAACAGTTCCTATTGCCATTGTAACAGTTCTTGTCGGTACCCCGGGCGATAGCATCTTCGTAACTGGTAGAATATGCGTCTTGAAACAAGGAGTCTGAGTATAAACATCTCTTTGGCTTCATGTTAGGAAAACCTGTTTTCGCTTGCAAATTTCCCTGTATGTGTTTGTAATCACGTTAATCACAATAATGTTATAACTTGGCCCATAATTCCATCATTGTTTTATAACACTTTTGTTGAAACAGGGGTTCAAACGACTGCAGTTAAAGGGCGGACACGGAGTGAAAAAAAAATACATAATAAAAAATCCACTTGTAATTTGTTCGGGGCAAGGGTGTGACAGCTGGTACAGGTTACAGAAAATAAAAAAGGCAATTTACGTTCAAAGTGTATAAAATGAAAGTTTCATTTACAGTAAAAAATAGATTTTAACACTTTACAGATAAAGCAAATTCCTAATTACATTTTTATAATATACTTGGAAATGGAAATTGCGTACAAACTGCGACATTTAATGTGGAAATGCCTTATACGCTTACAAAAAATAAGCTAGATTACATTTTACACCTTGTCCGTGTCTACGAATGTATTTAAATTACATTATTACGAAAATAAAAAACAATTGATTACAGCTTACGAAAATAACCCTTGCCGACCCTCTTGTTCATGTATGTGATATATGTGGTGTACATTAATCAATAAGTCTTTATTACATTATAAATACTTACACCAGAACAATGGAAGTTCTGACAATTCAGGTACTTCTAATCAGAAACCAAATAAGGCAAACAACTGTACCCATGATTCGTTGATTTGAGAAAAGCGTTTGACAGTGTTTGGCATAATGCTTTATTTCAAAATTACTGGAGTATGGTGTGAACGATAAAACTCATAAAACCATTAAAAACATGTACAGCGACGTCGATAAATTTAATGGCTGTTTACAACACCATTTTTATCAAACTCCGGGGTGAAGGAAGCAAAGGTGTAGTCTAAGCCCCCAACACTATTCAATATTTCTATTAATGATCTTCCTGGTATTCCAGGCTCAGTCAATCGGAAGATTAGAAATGGAAAATCCAAAGAAACAATGATTAATTTAAAACGAAAGAGCCGAAAGACCATGTCCTCAATTAAAGAAAGTATAAGATATGAACGAAGGGTAAAAATAACTACTTTTAAACACACAAAAAATGTTGATGCATTTAAGTACTTCAATTTAAGATTGCGTTTGTATATAGTTAGTCAAAGCCGAACAGAACAGCTCCCTCAATCAATTATTTGAGAATTAACATCTCTTAGACATTGATGTCTCCTGGTGACCACCACAATTCTTCGGTTTTATGACATAACAGCAGCTACATTCTTTACGAAACGGGTACGATAGGAGAACACAGGTAAGAATGTAGTAAACGATTTGGGCCGACGACGAACAACACCTAACTTTTTCGATCATGGATGCTGACGATGTTGACGACACATGAGCTACCCCGAGTTTAATAGAACGCAAGTTCATCAAGAGAATCAATCCACATCAACCAAACCATCAATCGAATCGACCCACCCGAACACCCACCCAGCTACCCACCTAGTCAGCAAATTTGCTCACCCGAACCACCTAGAGAGCGAATTGGTCTACCAACCCATCTAGCGGATTGACTCGCCTTTATTACTGACAGTTAAATATTTGTCGCAATGTTAATCATCTACATTTTCAGATTAGCGAATTATTTATGGCGGTATATATTACAAAATTAACATCAGCTGGAATATCTGTCATGAATTCGAATGGAAAACTATTAAAATAGTCAAGTAAATTTTTGAAAACTAAATTAAAATTATAGAAATTTAACTGTTATTGTTCAAGTTGTTATGCACTGTGCGTACGTACGGCCGTTACTAGAAGATGGCATCAGGTTCCGCAAGTTGCTTCTCGGAATATTGAGAGGGCGCTTGTGCTCGCAACAATTTCCTTAGTAAACCTATTCATAATTATACTGACAATCGAGATGTATCATCACTGTACAGTGAGGCAAGATTGTAATTCAACTTCCAGACACGTGACTTACTATACTATCGTTTGAGAAATATTTGGTTGCCAATCTAGAAAACCCAATAGTAACATATAGCCTACATACAAAATATTAATAGTCACGTTATGGCCCAATAGTAACATATAGCCTACATACAAAATATTAATAGTCACGTTATGGCCCAATAGTAACATATAGCCTACATACAAAATATTAATAGTCACGTTATGGCCCAATAGTAACATATAGCCTACATACAAAATATTAATAGTCACGTTATGGCCCAATAGTAACATATAGCCTACATACAAAATATTAATAGTCACGTTATGGCCCAATAGTAACATATAGCCTACATACAAAATATTAATAGTCTCGTTATGGCCCAATAGTAACATATAGCCTACATACAACAAATATTAGGTCATCTAAGTGGGCGTAAGTTGTCGTGTCACAAGTTGTCACAGAACAGATGTTGGTAAGGACTCTAAAATCCGATAATTCATTACCCTATGGCCGTTTGTAAATGAAAAGCAAGGGCAAACCATCTAGAACAATATCTGATTCAAATATGATCCTAGTTTAGACATTTTTAATTGTTATTTCAATGTTTATTTAAATCTGTATTTAAATATATTTTTAAAAATAAGAATTAAATACATAATATAAAGCAATGATAAAAATTCAAAATTTAAAAAAAGATATCATTTTAATCAGAATAATCTGAAGAAAGAACGTCAACTCATCGAACTAGCAATAATATAATGCAAAGGTATCATCTAATAATTATTATTGTTTTGATGAACTATATGTTATCCTTCAACAAAATATTAAACAGCGCCATCTACGATATTTAAATAAAGTTATCAAAATAATTTAAATGTATTGGTGGATGTATAGCAGACGGTTGATGATTTAAGTCACGTGACAGACACATAAAACCTCACACTGTGATGGTTTTCAGAAATTAAATAGGGTGACATTCCTGACTTCGAGCTGATATCCGAAACCTTAACATAAATTTGCTGGTATATTTCTGTCAAAATTGCTGTTTGTTTTTTCAAGTCTCATTCACAGTTACTACGAGGCAACAACCAGTACACATAAAATATTTGCAAGACGTGTAAGTACAAGTTTGGGAAATTATCTGTCTGCATATATTAATTAGGTCACAGGCCCTAAATAACTAGAAATATGGAATTTATGCAATATATAAAACCAGTTTACGCACCTGTCTGATTTGTTAAGTTAATATACTCGTCAATTAATTCGTTTGCCTTCATAACTGTGTCCCTTGCTTCATTCGCCCGGAGTGACAATTCGTTGGTAATTCTGTTGTTTAATTCTTCCATTGTTTTCTCAATGTCTGCATTTGTTCGTGAGCACCTGTCTACCTTGTTTTCCATTGCGTTCATTCGCCTCCTGATATCGCTATTGCCGTTTTTCCCTGCATCGCTGCTTGTGTCATCCACATCATTTCGTTCACCGGATATCACACTGTGTGATACATCCCTCCTTTTCAGAGAAGGTTGAGAGTCTAATAACGATCGTAATTTGATATTGTCATTACTAATTACTGCATACTGAGCTTCAAGTCGTTCTATTCGACGAGTTAGTGATGCTATAATGTCAACTGCATCACGCTGTCCGTGCGCCATCCCATGCACCAAACCGACAAATGTTATAACCAGTATCGCCGTTATCATCGTCAAATTCAGTTCACTGAGCGAGAAAAGCATAGTTAACGGTGTTTAGAACAAGATAAAATTGGGTTCGCCTAGTCAGCAATGGTAAAGGTCAGTTAACATTGGCTAAGCTCAGTTGGAACACTTGGATTTATAAAGAAATGATAAAGACGGCACATATCACATATGACACTATGAGATAATGCTGCACACCAGAGATAGAAATGTTGATAAATGCAGTCCGCAAATATGCATAAAATTAGTTGTTTTAAAGTTTTCCTGGATAAGTATAAGTTTAGGTGGTACAAAATATGGTACAGACAATGTATTATTTCAGACTTTTGTATAATTTATCATCTCGACGTTGACATGACAACCAATATAGTTTCCGAGTTTGCCCAGGCTGTGTATTGGACAACACTACTGAACGTCACAATGTAAAACATAATTATAGACTCTTATTAACGTATGGTATCATTTTTATCATTGCTGGTATGTTCACCTCAGATAAACTAAAGGTGGGCAACACACACACTGGCCATTATGATTATTTGACCTGACACAGTTCCCACAATTCAGCATACATTTAGTAAAGAAGCGGGTATGTTTACAAAGAAAAAATACACTTGAAATAAATGTATGTATTTAAAAAACAAATTAGACATGTTTTTTTATTTTTACAGGTACCAATAAAAACAGTGTCACGTCGAAGGGATAACTTCAGTTCGAGGAAGAAACTGATCTCACCAATCCAGGGATGGCTAACTGATTGAATGAAGTAACAGCCTAACCGATTTGCCACGTACACATTTGTTTCGCAATGCCAGTAATCATAAAATGGTTCTGGTATCGAACTATTCACTAATCAATCTACGCGTGTAACACGAACGGACGTAACGCTTTATAATAAGATATCTGTGAAACGTAACACATTATACGAATATTAAACAATCTTTAGTTATTTTAAACATTACTAATTGCGGTGAACATATATAGCATTGTCGGTTTATTTGTTGTTCGCATGACAATTACACAAATACCACACTGACATAAGACGATATAATCGACACGTAGACCACGGAACGGCGTATCTACATAAAATTGAGTTGGTTAGCACAAAATCATAAATTGTTGCAATTCTGTTTAAATATTAACTTATTGAATTACGTTGTATTCATTGCAATGTAGCGTTACTATGTACTGTGTATTATCATAATTATTTACTAAATCATATTCACTAAGGCAAATGATTTTATTTGGTGTTATTATTAACGATGAATTGTATTGGCGTCATATGGTAATGGTGTGACTTTCGTGCAAAAGGGAGAACCATTTATTCTACCGAGGCTAGATAAAGTTACAATTTCCTTGAGGATTAATATTTGATCTAACACTTTTTCTTTTTCTTAAAGATGTTTGTCTCTAGATCATGCATTCCGTGTACAATGTACATCTTTATTCGTATTTTTCTGGTCGTAACTTACCCTCCCCGAACAAATAATGGTCGTTTCCTTAATTATTGACCTATCACCCCAGAGATCGCAGCTGTCTCTTACCGCCACAAGTTACGTCATGTACAGAGTGACAACTGTACAATAAATAAATAAATGGGCGTTCACCCAGTGGTGGAAACCAAACGAAAACAAAACGAATAAGATGTCATATAAAAGTATTCCCCTAGCAAAATAACTCGAATTTAAATAGATTTATATTCTATATTCTAAGTTGTTCCCCATTCTTAAATTGCTCTCAATGAATAGTTTGAGTGGACTGTTCTCACTGTTTCGTTACTCGTATATCTGTAGTTGTAATACGTTGATATAGTTGCATCCACACATTAACTGACTATACAGCCAACGATATTCGTTTCTGAGCTAACAGTGACACTGTCTGCTTTGCAGAACACACTGTGCATTCCATTTTCAGCGGCAGCATTGCATATTCATATTGTAAGAAATCAACATACCTTCCCGACTTCGGCACTCGATAGCAAGGTGAACTCTTGGGCTGGGGACCTCTATGATATGATTTTAATTTCTTTCTGGAGAAATTGATAGTTCTATTTGAATAAAATGGACGAAACCATACTGTGTGCAGTGACAGGTAGGAACTGCAACAGGTGTTCGATAGATGGTATTGGCGTTCAAGTTGAATACAGGACGTCAAAATACAACAGATGGCGTCCGCATCGTTCGTGACATGGATTACTATACAGGGATTCAATGGTGTGGTCAGTTTTTGTTCTCTGTGAAAAGTTTTCCGTATTATGGACACATTATTCCATAAACTTTATAATTCAACGGTTACGTTTCTCGTTATCGTGTATACTACATATCTACACCAGACAGCTGAATGTCTTCCCAGCAGATGATATCCTCGTTCAAGAATCAGGACGAAGCTAAAACTTTCACAACTGCAATTCAGATCAATACCTAATGTCTGATGTTTAAAACATTGACCAACAGACATCTACATGAATGGTGTACATATTACTGTCCAATATACTGTTATACACTCTGTGTATACTAGTACAAATGTGTACACTCAAAGTGTCAGTTTTCGGAAACTTGCCGGTGGTTATTTTAGTTTCCGCTGAATTAATCGAAGTTTGGAATGATGTTCAATAACTAAAATTTGTCTGTGATAATTATTCAATAATCGATCTAGTTTTTAAAATGTATTTTCTCAACGAATTATCACTCACTACATCATCGTACGTAATTGTTCGTTTCTATTACCCCCAACAAACTAGTGCATGAGTACGATGACGTAAACATCAGTGTCGACTAATCAGACTATACTTAAGTTCTACAAATCTCCGCAATGTATCTTCCATGGCAAATTACATCATGTCGAGTGGCTATCCATGCAGTGGAAAACGACTACTTTGGTCATCTTTGGCATTGGATCGAACAGAGTGTAATCAGTAGTGATGTGGCGTATTGAGTACTCGACATCGAATATCGGCTAATATGATATAAATATGATATAAATATGATATAAATATGATACTGTATCAGTGATATTTCTAACGTAACAATGTAACGATTATGGTATATCTAATTACTAGTATAGGTATAGTATATGGGTCCGGTCGAGCAAAAACAATTTTGGCGAATATATAATTCGCGGGTTTCTTAGAACAATGTTCTGTCTGATAACGTCATCACTTGTAGGCTCGTCCCAGGTTCGTTTATAACGCACACAGTGATCAATCTCGTACACACGAACAATTGAGCCAAATTGGCTGTGTTACAGATCAAACATTTACCTGTCATGCGTGCAGTGTTGTGCACTGGATATTTTTAAGACGATTTTAGCGATTGCTGCTACGCTGGACACGTGCAAGACGCGCTGGGACACAAATACCACCAAAATATCTCTTGGATAAGTAGATAATAACAATTGAAAAGGTATTTACGGCACTCAGTTTGAGCTACCGAAAGCTCCGATTAATCATGTGGTAGTGTCACCAGACTGCCGTATTGAGAGATTTATTCAAAATGAAAGATTTGATCCCTGATAAATGACACCAACTTATGTCGGTTGATATGCAGGACTTGGCTCCCAGGTTTGCCATAAATTACGCCACTAGCGACACAATATCGAAGTGTATCAATTGTCAGTATCACATGAACGGGCCAACCAATAAACAACCTTGAAAATATGCTTTTAATTATTGACATTTTACACCTAATTTATTTCTTTGGATGCCTTTTAACGACGACGTTCATCCAAGTTCTGGAGACATTTTAGGCCGACATGTTACGATCCATGATGGCGTTTATTTCACACAGACACAAAAAATCCTTTCCAATATAACGTGCCATCACGTTTACTAAAACCGTTAGTAACCGTGGTGCCATGTGATATGAATTGGATTTTTTGTGATTACAGGGTCTGTCAAGTAAATAATTCATTAACCCAAAAGGCACGTTTATAGCTCGATTTATAGCGAATAGGAACTTAGAATAGGAACATTTCCGAACAGTAATGTCAGTATGTACAGTGTATAACGCCTTGCTAATACGCTGCCTTTACTTAATATGTATTTATGCTAACAAGAAAATACTCCATGTACCGTAACTTTAACAATTTATTTAGAGCCCTACACAATATCAGACTGCCCTCTCCCGGCGTTACTTGTTGGCGATTGAAGTCCAACGGCGAGGGCGTACGAAATAACGCCCAACTGGTTCTAAAACGCCAGCAAGTACCGTGGATGGTGTCTATTCTACTGCAAACACGTGTCTTTTTAGCTAGCATATTATTTTAGCTTATCCGTAATTTTGCTAATTCAAGATAAATTACATTCTCACAATGAGATTGTTAGGCCTCTAAATATTCACAAAAATAGTATATAGTTATTTAAATGCGTTTTACAGTAGCTCATTGAATTCATTTAATTTGTCACCCTGAAAGATCTGCAATGTTTTTGAGAATAATTTACAAGACCGATTATTATCGCAGACATGTTGCAGGTCACAGTTGTTGGCTAAAAACTAAGATGCTTTAAAACACAATTTTCATTACTCAAAGCCTCACATTAATCTTGCCCAACAGGCAATGTTATAAGGTATCCTCTATATGTTGAATCATCTCTGGTTATCCAAATGTATATTTTCTACAACCTACCCGGCAGACAAGAAAGTTCTGTTGCTGATGGACGTACCTATCTACGTACCAATGCATTTGAGTTGGTAGTTTTCAACAAGTCGAAAATATCATTTTTTACCAAGAATAGAGAATTGAAGATATCCTCACAAAAGTCCACCCAAAGTATGTACATACTAAGTACCAAAGCAATTGAGCTGTTAGTTTTCAAGAAGTCAAAAATAAAATTGTTGACGAACAACTATCCATATGAACAGGTCAGCTCTGTTATCTTTAAAGACAGCGGAGCTTAAATGATAATTTTAAAGTAACTATGTTATGGAGAAGGCAGTTATTTCTTTCCATGGTGTTGTACCCTCGGGCAAGATGCAAAACAGTCTCTCTAACGAGGAGAACATGGAAACCAGTTATGGAATGTTTAGCTAAACCTATATGCATGTACGTGTCAGCAGGGGCTGCTTCCAAACAAGGTTGGTTTGGTTTTGTTCATGTATGTGGAAGCCATATAAAAATAGACTTGTTATACATGACCACAGGGAGCCCAGGAACTATGATCAACTGTATGCAGTCTCTATGGGGGGGGGGGGGGGGTATCGGCTGGTATCTTGTGTGAGAAATAGACAAATGATGAAGGCTCCAGCGAGCTCATATTTTTTAAACTGGAAAAAACGGACAAACAGAATGAAAAATAAAATCTATAAAAAATACCAGGTTGAAGAATGTTAGTTGCTCTTTCAAATTTCGCCAAAATAAATCTGCAGAATAAATCAAGAAAACTACACAAATTGACTCCATTTATGAATAATTAAAGCACGGCACATTTGGAGGCTCATAGGGACTGTGTAGAGTTGATTATAGTTCCTGGGCTCCCTGGGATATGACTGCACAATTGATAGTCTTGAATATACCAATGTAAGAACATTGTGGAGTTGAAGCTAGGATTATTGTAATAAGTAGAATCATATTCATTGACGACAGATTGCTTTTTTTTATTACACAATAAGGCATGTCTAGTAAATACAGTAATTGGATTTAATCACACATGCAGTTAGTATTTTAATCAGCCATTTCGTGCAAAAAGTAGTTTTATCTAACCAAAAAATATATATAATCTAACAGTAACTGTAAAACAAATCACAATTGCTTCTTCCATGTCAAACTATTTACATCACATTCAAACATTTGTTATTGTTTACAACGAATGTGGCAACAACAGTGTAGTATGTAATGGAAATAGAATCGTCACTTGACATCACAGGCATGTATACTTTAGGCTGGCCATTTTGAACCATCACGATGACAAGCAGTAAAAGTTGGGTAATATTGAGGTTATCACAGGAAAATTTGGGTAATAAAGGATTCAGCACCACTATGTGACACCACACTGTCTCCAGGTATACATTGTAGTATTCATGTGACTACCTCATAAATCTGAACTGATGATAATCCTGCAATTACATGAGTACATTCCATAAGTACCAACTCTCAAAGATGTTTTCTACAATATAATGCATGTCAAGTAAGTATTTTTCTGCATAAAAGTACAAACTCCAGCAAATATTCTCTGGATGCCAATTAGTATCTTTGCTGAAAGTCAACACAACATTCTTGATATAATACTTCATTGTACAAATTTACAGAGTCTGCGAGTGTGACTACACGTGTGTAAAATGGTTAATTCCAATCTATCGAAAGTCAGCTGCTTCATAATCTCAAATATAAAAAAAATCTTGCACATTAACGTAAATTAATTTTGCAGTAAAGAAAATTACTATAAAAGACTAAAAACTAAAAGAACCACCATGCAATTCAAGCATACATGCAGCTATATGTACTAATTCACCACTTTGTTTCATCAAATGAATCAGTGACCATGATTATACCAAATAAGCACAATTTTCAGATAACCAAATAAACTTGTTTAGTAATCAGCCTGGGAAAAAACTACAAGTCTGAACAAATGGGAAAAAAAATAATTCTAATACTAAAAAAGTATTTCAGATTTTCATTGATAAACAAAGTAACTTCCTGACTTGGAGCAAGGATTAAACAATATTTCAGAAATCCATTGAGAAACAAAGTAACTTTTTTTCTGCAATGAATATTACACACCAAGTACAGTACTATTAATGTCTCTTTTAGAAAATACATGCAATTTATCTGACCAGGTTTGCAATATCCAGTTAATGTGGAAATGCTAGCATTTAATTGGAGTTTGTTAATCACAACCCAAGTCTGGCAAGTTAGAGCAAATAAGATGAAGGGAACAAGTGTTGTTCATTTTTTGCATCAATAGATTACACAATAAATCAAATCTGGTTATCACGTTTCAGTTAAAAGTCCATTAAGTGTTTAAAATAAATGCTTAATTGGCAGCTAATCTAAGAATCTTGTAGTAAATTATCAGTTAACAGTGATACCGAATAGAACAAGTCTGATGTGCTGACAATAGACGATTGCATTCTTGATCAGAACATCCAACTGCGAAGATGTGATTGTGTAATTGATGATTTCAGACTTCTTTGTAAAGAAAGTTCCATTTTCACGATAAATGAGCACACTGCATTTCCAATTTATCAGAATGCATGGGAAGTGATTTTTAACAAACCTGTTTGTATTCAAATACTTTGGCAAGAAATAATTCATAATAAAATATATTTTAGATATCTAATTTATTCAATTATTTTTTCATTATAGTTATCTGTCTAATTAGTTAGATATTCTTTCTTACAGCTAGCATCACCAGAGTATAGCATCACAATTCTTGTAATATTGTTCTTGCATTTTTTTAAGCAATGAGGGTGTAATTCAGTTTAACCACTTACATCTTGTAGTCTCCATATTGATTTTTAACCCACAAGCAAAAGAAAACTCAACAGTTTGATACACGTGAATGACACATTTTCAGGACTCTCACATGACAGAATGTAGCATTTGAGAAAACTTGGAGGTCAATTGCTTTGTATAGGTTGTTATAGAGCAGGAAAATACTTGGCTAATCGAAATATAAGCTACAGATACTGAGGTAAGTTAAATTACCTGCTGAAGTCAGTTTTTTTTTCCATTCAGTTCAGCTATACATGGAGGCTTTCAGCAGGTAATGTGTTAAGTAAGGTAATATGACAACAGATGAAGGCACCAAAACAAATACACTAAGAACAAGCCATGCATGGCGCAGTCCCCGGTAAGTTATCAAATCTAAGATATATAGTTCTGTTTATAGTACTGTACAATACTTGTCCATATTGAGATATTGCGCTGGAACATCATTCAGTAAAACAAAATGGTCATCAGTTGGCCATTTTTAATCCTATCTGATGCCGTGCATCAGGGACCCAATAATGTCTAATGTATATACCAAATTTGAACAAAATCCATCTAAACAACCAAGATCCGGTTCCAGAAATGCTTGATTTTTTTACTACACCGCCATTCGGGCATTCGGAATCAGATCATCGAACCAATATATCTGTATATCTATGAGATAATGAATATTCAAAATTTTAACATAATCAGTCACAGCATGGCACTAGAACCAGATTCATTAAAACAAAAAGGCCACCAGTTGGCCATTTTGAATCTGATCCGGGGAAAAAAAAGACTTGCATCAAGGTCCCATAATGTCCCAAGTTTGAACACAATCTGTAAACATCTGAGAAATGCTTGATTTTGACGGTTTTTTAGTACAAATATGGCTGCCATTTGGCCATCTTGAATCAGTTTTTGAAATAAATTGATGTGCACATGTACAATATTATGTAAGTGTGAAGTTTGAATGTGATACATCCAGGCATGTCTAATATATAGGTCCAAACACATGGACTCAGAGATCAATCCATAAGTTCCGTTTTCAGACTGTGTCAAAACAGACTAAAAAGTTGCACCCAGTAATTACAGAGATCATATCTTTATTTCACATCATGATTTTTTTACAAAAGGCATAAATATGGCCACCACTGGACAATCAACACAATGGTACATGCTGATCCAAGATTAAGATTGATCACATTTCTGTATTCAGTGTACGTTTTTCTTATTTACGTCATTGATGCAATCAAGCATCAATAGTTGACAATGTTTGGCCAGGTTAAATATACAGATTTATACAACAAACTATACTGTCTGAAAATTTGACATGTATTGCGAGCACTTCTTTTGAAATTTTAATACAGTAGACCATGGCACCTAAAATCATTTTAGTTGCCCAAATTCACTCATTTCCTAAATAGTGAATGTATACCTCATTATGGCAATTTAGCCTTCTACCTGTGTTCACACAAGTGTCATTGGAATTTATGCTGATGCTGATATTCCCTTTCAAAGAGGGTTTAAAACGCTGCCATTTTAAGCCTTTTGTTGCCGGTGTAGCATGCTTGCATCTGTTTTTCTCTTACCCTAATGCAAGTTACACTGGCATTAAGACACAAAAAAACAGATATGAATTAGATATGAATATAAAGGACATGCACAGATTACAAAGCTGTATTACATCAAAGCTCTGGTCTAGAAGAAAGTAAAATGTATGAAGTCAAGTTTTTATAATAGTGTTAATTTGGTTATCATACAACTAGCAAGCCACATCTTCTCAATAACAATTATAATTTTGTTCTGAAAAATCAAAATTTACTTTTTTTCAACAAGGTATGAAAAATTGCAAATCGACAAATATCTTTAAATGAAGTTGGAAGACATGTAAAAAGTCTGCCGAATTATTTGAAAATAAGCAAATGATAATAGACTATACAAGACCTAATTATGACCACAGAATGAAGTGTTAATAGATAATCCATATAAATGTTTAATGTCATAAACAAAAAGCAATAACTGCATATCGAAAAAAGTTAGACACTCATTAAACTGCTCGATGACAGTCATGAACAGGCTGCAACACAGTGCGACACCAAAACAATAACTTGAATGGCCATTTGGGAATATTAACTTAAACGACTGCACTGTTAACCAAGTTTATAACCACCACACAAGTTCAGTCAGATTGACACCATGCAAGAGATCTACATCGTAGATTATTTCTGCTTGTTTATACCCATACATTTATATTGACCCATATTACAATTTACAGCGTATCTACAAACACAGGCTCAGTCCCCACTAATACACAATGTATTCTTAACATCACTACCTTTTTTACAATGATTTTTTTTACTTATCAAATAATTTAATATCAGTCAATTCTATGTCCACCTAATTTATGGACCATTGTTGATCTTTTCGTCCAGTTTCTTCTTAATATTTTCAAAACGATCTTCACCCAGGTAGTCAATCTGTCCCTGTTCCCACTGAAATTGACGAGTACGACTGTCAACAGGATGTGCTGGTACCCCAGGCTCTGTAGGACTACTGGGAGGTGTTGCTGTGCTCAGCAACTTCAGCTTACCCAACTCACTGCTCATAGTCTACAGAAACATCAATGAAAATAGAAGCATGATATTAGTCATTAGGTAGGAGTTTTGTTGTCTACATTCTGACCTGGTGGTGTGGAAATAATGGAAAACAACAATTACTAAAGTCAATCTGATGAAACTCTCTGCATACAAAACATTGATAATCTTCAAAGTGTAACATTCATAACTAGAGAAAATCCTATTGCCCATGTTGTGAGTCTCGGTGAATATTTTCTATTCACTGTGAGATCTTGCGTTATGCTGAATTTGAATGTAAACGAGGCAAACAAAGGGCATATTGTCATTGTGGCATTCAATAAACTTAAAACATTGAACTATAAAAAAAATAATTTGAAGTTCAAAATCAATCATTCGATTTTGCAGCAGATGTTCTGTTTGTGGTTTTCATTACACAATGGAAAATAAACTATTTTAACTAGAAATAGAGCTTAATTAACATAACAATGGTTACAATATGCAAATCTACTGAAAAGTATGATGATCCCAAATATGATATACATGACATCAAAGTCCCTGTATAGTGTATAGAAGAACTGTGATGACATGTATACTGTCTCCCCAAGAGTGTACATGCATGTATATGGACCTATCACACTGTACCAATAACTCTGCTTGCAGCAGTTAATAATTACAAATACTGTACAACAGCGACTTTTTTGCACACTTTACTGAGTTTCCTGAGGACACCCTCTCTGTCACTGTCAAGCCGGTGAGGCAAATGGGCGTTCTCAGAGTTCCATGATTTCCAGTCTTGTGAAATAACACAATAGGAGACTTCCAATGCAATTAAAACAGCTTCTTTTATATTGAATTACATGAACAATAAATATACAAATTCTGTATCAAAAACAAGTATTCTTCAGCCATGGACAAATTCTATTTCATTTCCAAATCACTGGTTTGTGTCACAAATGGCTAGTGTATGTATGAGCAGCATACAGATATAGCATGTGGAGTGCCATTCCACATTTTTATTCTGTTCAAGTACATAGACAACATACCATTATATTTCCATTTCTGTAATAAATGATAAAATAGAATTAGTTACAATTTGGTACGTCAGTAGAAATCACACTTAAAAGCAGTTGTACCAGGAGCCGTCAACTGCAAATCTGTTTGATGACAATGTTCGTTTAAATTAGTTGACTGCGAATAAAGCAAGATTAATATTGGTAATTAAGAAAATGTTAGAAGTTTATAACCATGCTTATTAACCATGCAAAGTGATTTCAATATTTAATAATGCTCAATAACTGATAAATAAAAAGCACATTTTATACACGTGTAGTTAACACAGCACAGCACAGCACAAAACAAAAACATTGAGCATGTACCAAAATGATAGGCAACATAATATTGAACGCTAATGAATGTAAAGTAGTTGAATTGTATCGGAATCCACCCCAAAAAATAATTATTTTCATGGTCTAATTATTGAAATGATTATGGTAATTTAGATGTAAATATGCAGGTAAATCACTCCTTATATTCTTGATGCAAAAGTACACGACAACTCTAAATGTCTGACCAATTTCAAAATTAATAGAAGCCGTAATTTGATATTTTGTATGGTCCACAGCATAGTAATATATCGGTAGCTACTTGGCTAACAATTTATATGAAATCATTGTTTGATTTGAACTGGTTAGTTTAAGAGACAAATGCAGCACATTAAACATTTATTCTTTGTATAATTGCAGTCATTTTTGTGTGTGTGTGAATGGTCATCTATTGTAATATCCACTAAACCTGTTTACTGATCACTCGATAGTGGAAAATGCAGAAGTTACAGCGCTAGTCACACTGAACGCTGTGATAGCATTAATGTTTTGTATAGACAACACAGATTTACACATACTTGATGGCACCCACAAATACACTAAAAACACCAAGTGTTGTGTTGATACACATAACACGTACGTTTTTTTTTAGTTCTATTCACCTATGTTTGTAAGACTTATTAGTGGAGATAATAAACCACAAACACATTCTTGTATGCAGAAACAGACTGCATTCTGCATTTAATGTTTCACTCTCATAAAAGTGGTTTGATTCTGCCAGTTCAATTCAAACACAGACAACAATCAGCAGATGTGCTAATTAGTGAGCAAATTTGAGGGTTTTGGTGATCTAGAATTTAAGAGAGCAACAGTATTTAAATTTACAAATAGTGGTCGTATAATATCATGAGGACAATATCACAATATTACTGAAATCTTTAAAGCTAGTGATAAATTTACAAAACATTGATAATCTTCAAAGTGTAACATTCATAACTAGAGAAAAGCAGTGAAAACATCAGCACACAAACTCTTAGTAAAATAAGCTTCAGCAATGAATAGCAGGAAAACATGAGTGGACCATAGACAATAAATATGCATGAAGATTGTACCTTTAACAATTAGAAGCTAAAATAATTTGGCTAGTCAAAAAAGGTTTGTCATTTGTTTTTGTCTTTTTATATTGAATCAAGTGAGTTATCTCAATTCCAAGTAACTTGGAACAATGCAATTCAGGTTGGTAAATGCAAAAAATAAATCACAGCCGGAGTTGAGTATACTACCAGATATTGACCATTTCATCTCAAGTGAATTGTGCAGTATCTAGGAGTATACATGATTGTTGCAGGGGTTTATTGCTATTGTATTATACCAACATCATTTTAAATGTAATTCTGAGACATGGGAATGATTTTAAAGCACCAAAAACAATGAAAAAATGTGATGCAGCCTCTAAATCATTGAACTTGCAACCGTGGTTAAATGAAATAGCATATCTATAGCAAATGTATACATCAAGCATTGGTGCAAATTCCACCTGTATTTCAGCATTGATAGGTTAATTAATGTAATTTCTCATTAGCAACAGCATTGATGTTAGTAAAATCATCTCAGTTATAATTATAATTTGGGGAATCAAAACTTCACAAGTGAGACACTACAGGCAACAATCATTTTGTTGGTGTAGTTTGCATATAATTCTGAAACTTTTAATTGAGTATCTTTATTTGAACCAAAAAAATAAGAGTAGCGTTGTTTTTTTTTACGCTTTATGTCTGCAGCACAAAATAAAATGACAGCAGAGTTTACTCTTTACTATACGTTATTCATGTTTATGGTCCACTTCTAAACACTACATATCTGTAGTCCACTGTCTATTTAACCACGGCTTGCATAATCAAAAACATGCCCTCGCCTAATCAAGTAAAATGCTGGTATAATACAAAAAGTTGGAGGGAGAGAGCATAACAATCAACTGATAAAATTATGCATTTTAATAACAGAGACTAATACATTGTCTGAGTGTCTTGTCCTGTTCCATCAAAACACAGAGACTTTACTTGAAATTCTAAATAGTAGACTATCCAGCTCTTTCCTCACTGTTTTTAAGATATGCCATTCAAAACTGAGATTGCATGTGAATCTGATAATGCCACTGGATGTGCTACATGAGTAATGAGAGAATCTATTAGATTATAGGTGTTAGTCTCTGTGATTATGATGTATTTACCTGTGATGCCGTGTAAAAAGAGCTGACTCTGCAGTTAATAGCATGCTACAGTGCACAATGCACATAGTTACTTCTTCGGTAGACTTTTGAACATATAGAAATGAAAATAAAGGTACTATCCCACGCATGAAAAGCCATGCTGCACCCAGTATCCAAAAATTGTTATACAACACTAACGCATTATATTGCGATAGATAGTGTGAACAGTAATTACGGCATTAACATTTTAATTTCAGTGTGAAACCCTAAAAACTCTCAATGCTAACTCAATGGCTAAAAGCACATTACAGTTGCACTAAGAAAAGATAGTTTACTATGTTGCTATATACAGACTGTATCACTATATACAGACTGTATCACTATATACAGACTGTATCACTATATACAGACTGTATCACTATACCGGTACATAGACTGTATAATATTTTCACTAGATCTGTACTTTACTGTGTTTGCTCTATTTGTAGCACATGCTCTTACATAAATTACTGAGATTTTTCTGTGGAGAATGCAAGTAATATTTAGTATACAGCCAATGTGATATTTGGTTTATATGCACATCTATTGGCGATGCCCTTCTAATAGAGCAAATGTGGTAGTGCTATGTGTGGACTGTGTATTCTTATATATGACCTGTTCTATGTACTAACTGCGTGGTATATACGTTGACAATGTGTTACTATATGTGAACTGTATTGCTATACGTAGATTACATGTACATATTGTTATACGTGGCCTGTATATTGCTGTTATATATATGGACACTTGCCATTTACGAATAGTTAATTGCTATATGTGGATTTTGCAATTTTATACATAGGTGTACATATTTATAGGTGTATGTGGACTATATCGGTGTATATAGACTGTATGTAGAATATATAGACTGTATGTAGAATATATAGACTGTATGTAGAATACATCGCTGTATGTAGAATATATCGCTGTATGTAGAATATATCGCTGTATGTAGAATATATCGCTGTATGTAGAATACATCACTGTATGTAGAATACATCACTGTATGTAGACTGTATCGCTGTATGTGTACTATATTGCTGTATGTAGACTGTATCGCTGTATGTAGAATATATACTAGCCGCTGTATATATTACCTCATTATGCATTCATACTTGTTCTAACCATTAGTTGTTTTTCCCTATGAAAATAGCAAGTTTTTATACTTGATCACTTTATTTAATACACATGTATATCGAGCTTCAAATGCTGAATGTAGACCTCTTTCCAGACGGGAAAGCTTTTTTCATCTCAAAAAATTGACCCATTCTATTCGACAGCACGCTCTAAATTAACTTTACAAATGAAGCCCTGATCTGTGACCCCAAATCACCCACACCCATCCCAACCCAACCACTAGAATTAAATGCAATATCATGTGCACGATCCTCTTTCATCAACACTTCTACCAATATACATTATAAAGCAGTTATATGCCATACTCATTTCTACTGGTCTAAGTAAATACTACTACATTAAAATGAGGAACTTTGTTGGTACAACACTTGAATATAAAGATGAATTTTGATTTCAAAGTAAAAAAATAAAACATCAACCAGTCATGGTTACATGCATCTATACATCTATCAAATGATGCGCTCCGAGTAGTGTAAACATGAATCATTACTACGCAATAAAAGCCTATAGTATATAGAACATTGCAAGTGCATGTGCATGTTTGTGATGGTGATAACCTCATACACGTAGGACCCCGTGTTTCTTTGACAATGTACATGCATTTGTCAATTTACTATTAAAAACTGTTTCACATTCTATAACTTCAATGTATAGTAATGTTAAGTTAAATTATGTACAGAAAAGGCAACAATTAAAGGGGACCACGTTTATTATTACCAATCATTGATTAATTTAGTACAAATATTAACAATACATACACTAACACCTGTATTAAAAACTTAAACTCACCTACATTGTAGGTGATAATTTGACATAGTGAAGCCATACTTACCTTACATGTAATCTAAAGTTAGGTATCAATTGAAAATCTTGGACATAGTACAATTATTGTTACTAATTCAGTAATAGAACACCTCTATTTTGCAATAAACTCAGACTTAGTGTGTCAAATTGCATCCCAAACAGTAGCCTAAACTGAATCTGCGGACAGGACAAGGCAAGTATGGCTTCATTATGTAAAATATCATTGAATTTGTTAATTTTACTATGTTCAGCCATGCTTACTTTACAACTAATCGATAGTAAGGTATTTTAATTCTCTTGGGCAGGCTACATTAGGAAATTAACAATATGTATAGTATCAAAACAATCTGACTTGTATAATACTTTTTACCAAAAATATTCATCAAAATTAGATAATTGAAGATATCATCACGAAATGAACAAATGTGAGAGAGGTCCACATGTAGTACCATACAAAATGTATATGTAATATCAAAGCAATCGAACTTGCGAATTTAAACAAGATGTCGAAAATATAACTTTTTACCAAAAATGCCAAAAATATTCATCAAAATTAAAGAATTAAAGATATCAACACGAAATGAACAAATCTGAGAGAGGTCTACATGTAGCACCTATATATGTAGTATAAAAGCAATCTGAATTGTAGTTTTTAACAAGAAATTGAAAAAATCACTTTTTACCAAAAATTACAAAAATAGTAATATTCATCCTGCCAAAACAGACTACTATACAGTTCAAATAGGATTTTTTGTTTGACTGACAATTTTTAGAATTTTACAAATAATCCTAAGTGGCCTGTTCAGGCCACTGCTTGGGGTGCAATTTGACAATGAAAAAAATAGAAGTTCTATTTTTGAATTTGGGACAAGATTGAATGATGCCCAAAAGTTTCAATTGATACCTTACCATGGATTGGGTGTTAAGTATGGCTGAATAGAGTAAAACTACTGACATGCAGAACATATAATGTACACAGAAAATATAGCATGAAATAATTGCCAAACCATTGTTTTGTCTGGCTGGTATGAATAACTTACAACTCATTGACTGCGCTGATCTGTTACATGTCAGTAACCAATCAGCGTTTGCTGAAAACAAATTGTGGCATACTATGCAACACTGTTACATGGTGGTCAAATGCAATCAACTGACCAGTGATAGCCACGACTATGTATCACAAAAAAAAACTGCCACTAATATCACCAATTTGTTTACATGCATTACTGCTAAATGTGAGAATGGCCCTTAAATTTTCAGAATAATGTTGGTATAATAAAAATGTTGACTTACTTCTGTCTCTTCAGGTACTAATGGTTTCACAGGCTCGTCCATTTTCCTCAGAACAGTCTGAACTTCATGGGTTGTTAACTCCTCTTCCAGTAGCTCTTTTACAAATAACTTTCTCATTTCCATCTCCTCCTGCTCTTTCTTAATTCGATTTGCCTTCTCCTGTCTTATTTCAAGCAATGATTTGAATAGATCTTTGGACAATTCTTGGATATGTACATCTGTAGTTGTATCATCTATTTCTTCCTCACTTATTACATGTAATTTGTCATTAATTATCTTAGCTAAATCTATAATACGTTTTTGTTCAGACAATACATCTGTTTTCCTAGTCTTTTTCATGCGTTCATCTAACTTCACATTAATATATTTTGCTAATTGTTCCAAACGTTTTAGAACATACGTATTTTCTCTTTTTTTATCTTCACCTTTCCCACTGTCCGACTCCATTTTCCACATTGCTTCACCTAATCTTTTATGAATGTATTCTGCTAAGTCGTTGACACGCTTTTCTTCCACACTCAATTCGCGATGTTTATGGCATTCCACTAACGACTCATCACGCTGTTCAACCATACCCCATAATTCAGATATTTCACCAGAGTATTCCTCGAAAGGCTCACCTCTACTTATTTCCGAAGGTTCTCCAAGCTTCCTGTGAACATATGCAGCTAATTCTTCTACTCGTCTTTCTTCTGATGTCAATTCATGAAAATCCTTGCTCTCATCCGACAGCTCAACACCTGGTTTGACTATACCCCATATTTCCGTTAATTTACCACCATCACCCTCAAACTTCAAGAGTTTAACAGATCTACTCATTTCTTTTGATTCATCAAGCTTCTTATGAACATATGCAGCTAATTCTTCTACTCGTTTTTCTTCTTCTGTAAGTTCAGGATATTCAGCCTCATCAGGTTCAGGCACCTTACTTTCATGAGCATCTGTTGATTTGTTTTCATCTATCATTCTAATTTCCCTGTGCACATATTCTGCTGAATGTTCTGGCACTGAAGGAGGGTGAGTGCACAAATCTGGATATAATTGTTCTCGCATTGGTGGGAAAGATGATTCTGCTGGTTTAGAAGCTAATTCGGCATCTGGTTTAGAAGCTGGCCCAGAAGTTGGTTCAGCTGGTTTATCTATTTGACTCTCTCCTTCATCACTTGCATAGAGAGAACGGTCAGGTTCCTAGATAAGATTGTCAATTTACTAAATAACTGTCCAGTAATGCACTGCATCACACAATACATTCTATGAATTATAGTGTGTCAAAGTAGGTTTAGTTTTAATACAAGATATACAAATAAATGTTTATTATACTTAATAATACAAATAATCTGTGAATCTGAAGAGACAAAAGTTGAATATTCTTTCATTGTTGAGCAGAAAGTGGAAGTGGAAGAAACAATCTTGTTTCTAGTGACATACAAGAGTACAAGTATTTCATTTCAGTAGCTGAATTGGGAGTAGCAAAATATGGACATTGCAAATGAGCCAAAACATTGCCTGGAAACACCATTTTTTCCCATTCATTTTGTCTATTATTGGAGGCTTTCAGAAGGTAATTTGTGAACATGGTATTTACAAAATGAACTCCTAATAGAGCAAATATAGGTCATGTTGTGACATGTTATCTAACACGATTCCTGAATTGAAAACCTCAGTTATGTATTTTCAACAATTTTATATAAAAATAGCCAAAAGTGTAGGGTCTATTTGCTCTTTGTCATATATTTCAAGAAACCTTTATTTTATCCAGGTATCAAGAATTTGTAATGCTGCATCCATCTTCTAAGTGCAAAAACACTTTTATAATATCCCATAATGCATTGCAAATTTTCAAATTAATCTCATTTTGGACTGATCTTATTGAGGTTGGTTGTTGATACCATATTTGCACTATTGAAAAACATGCGCATATAAAAAAAATGCTATAGCTAGTTTTATTGCTTAACTAGCTAAGTCAGTTTTTCTAGTTTAAGTTGTTACTAGCCAACTACTACCACTAATTTGTATTGTTCAGATTATTGTTAAAACTAAACAAATACAGTCCAAAATAAGAGCAACAAGCAGAAAAAGTTATCAACAACACAGAGTCAGTAACGTAAAACAGTGAAGTAATCCTTGACTTCTATAACCAAATCATGGATCCAGGAAGTGTAAACTTACAAAAATCTGACAAGCATGAGACAGTTCTATGTCCTGCTATTTGAACATTGGGCATTTGTAATTAATGATGCATTGTCAATTGTGATTCAAGAATTGATATTTTAAACTATTTACAAAGAATAATTGACAGATGTACTGGTGTATATAGTAAATCAAATATGTCAACTCAACATAAGTGTTCTTGTAAGTTCTGTGAGTCCAAGTTTGTAATCTTTTGTCACACGACAATAAGACCTGTCATATAGCCTGCCTTATGTCCTTAAGGTAGTAGGAAATAAATGTGTTATAAGGTTTTAAATAAACTGCATCCAGCACAGGTCAATAACAGCTGCCAAGTCCTTACAACATGTAGTACAGCATCACTGGGGCATTTAACTTTGCATAAACAATCTTATTAGTCTCCAGGAGCCATAGTTAGCTGGATACATGTGCCTACCTTTGACATGGCAAGTGACCCAGATCTGCATGTGGTGGCAGAAGTGTCATAACATGCTCCCTGCTAAACCAAGAGCGAGATTCAAAAGTGGGATGTGTATGGAGGTGGACAGTTCCCAGCAAATGATAAAGCTTGCAACTAACTGCAGCTTCTGGATGATACCAAGCTTAATAAGAACAGAATGTTGGATAATATGGCTCATAAAGCTTGCAACTAACTGCAGCTTCTGGATGATACCAAGCTTAATAAGAACAGAATGTTGGATAATATGGCTCATAAAGCTTGCAACAAACTGCAGCTTCTGGATGATACCAAGCTTAATAAGAACAGAATGTTGGATAATATAGAGGTTGCAGAAGAAATGCCAATACTGAAGATAAATAACAAGAAAACTTTAAAGATGAGTTGATCCATGAATGTGTTGTCTTCTGTTATGGTCCATCCACACAGATTGGCAGTACATATTCTCCCACCATAAGAGGAAGATTTGTGATCTGAGTTAGCAGTATGATACAAACTGGGTATAAAGGAATAGAAAAGATGTGTTTGGTAATATACCGAGTGGCTCTGGTATAACCAGACAATCTGAAAAGCTATGTGCCAATATGAGCTTCAAGATTGAGAAAAACCTTGTGTCACATACATATTACTGTGAGGAATCGTCAGCAGCAAGTAGCAGCTACAACAGAGTCTCTACTGCAAGGTTGCCAAGAAGCATTAACTTTGTCCCTCTCTCTTTGCTAAGGTAGGCGACAGCAATGAAAATGACACACCTTGAGGACACTGTTTGGCAAAAACTGTTGTAGTGCTTTCAGCTCCTAGTTGAGGTGTTTGGATAACTGTGTGTGAAAGTGTGTTAGCAGATCCATCATATGCACCCCATCCCTCAATTGACACATCTGTCAAGTGATGACAGCACCAGACCCCATCCAACTTTAAAACATGCATACTAATGTTGAATGTGCATTCCCTGATCTTGTCACTGAGTCAAAAATATGCTTCACACATGTCCATGCCAAGATTTCTCCTCATTACAAACCACAGTGATTGCAGGATGTCATTTGGTACTGAGGATGTTCAGAAAGGATCTCCTTTGATGGATGATGGAGAAGCCAGTCATATACACAAATGTGTGTACCGGTAAAGTTTACTTTGGTAAGTAGGAAAACTACTACCGCATTTCTCATAAATACCAAATGGAAATACTACTCTGAATTGGTATGCAATTTCCTCTACCAGAAACCATGGAAAAGGTTGGCTATAGTTTATTAGGTATGTGGAGAATGCATCCTTCAGAGGTGCCAAATCTGCCACTGGCCTCCACCCAAAAGATTCGATAGAACCCAGCGAACTGTCCACAACAAAGTCACAGGACCTGGAGCGACCGACAGTGAATGCTAGAGTCTGTAAAGAATTACGGGATGCAAACTAGCTGTTGGTTCTGAACATCAGGACAGCAAACCATAGTGTTGAATATTGGCCAAACTAAATGAACAGTCTCATTCAAAGTATCAAAAGTACAAAGACCTACAAAGACCAACAACCCACAAAACCCAGAGTTACCTTACATGAAAACTGAGTGTGCACCATGTCCTCCAGACTTGTCCTATCAGGTCAAACATCATGGCAGAAATCAATGGTGAAGCAACAGATTTTGCAATGTTCTTTTTCACAAAGAGATGCAATATTCTCCTCAATCTGGCAAATGGTGAACTAAAAATTGTCACTTGCATACACATTAATTTTATAGCTGAGTACCCTTGGCACTAAATTTGACAAGTATGGTACTGCCACACAATGTAGCCAACCGGAGTTTGCACACATGCCCGACCAAAGCAAAGACTTCCTTGACAGAATACCAGGAATAACAGCTATCCTGGCTTAGATAGATGACTGAACACAATAACCATATTTAAAATATTTGTTTTTGGTAGTGTGGTAGTAGTAGTAGTATAAGTGACAGTGTGTTGCATATAGGGAAATCCCAGGGTGCCTGGTGTTGCTAGGCAACCTTTGCTGCAACATGCTCCAACTTGCCTCGTTTAGACAATTATCTAAACAATACAAAGTTGTCGTAGAGACTGGCTAGTAACGACAAAGACAATATATTGCAATGATCTTGGATTGGAGATGCTTCTAATGGAGTGAACCAAATCTGACCAATCAGAGAAAGGCCAATTGTGTATAACAATGGTGATGGTAATTGATGTATTAGTGACAACTAAATGAAACTTTGTTTAACCTTACAGATTTCCAACACCAGTCGTAGTTAACAGAATTTTGTGTTAAAAGCCTGTGATCAGCATGAGGCTTTACACAAATAAAGCCAGATGAGATACGTACCTGAGCAGTCTGAGCGGCCTCCAGCTTTGGTTTGACCCTGGCAACGAATATATCCCACCATGCCTGGATGAATGTGAGCTCATGATGAGAGCTCATGCTTTCATGAGGCAGAACCATACCACTGCTTGTATCATAAGTAAACTGCCATGGTTTGGCTATGCCAATGAAATGCACCACTTTCACTTGATCACCATATCTAATGATAAACAAGTATAAACACAAACTTACACGTTATGGTTGATAATACAAGGTTATCATGACAACATCGCAAAATATGCATTACCTGTACAGTAATCATATTGAGCAACATGTAGTGGAGGTTGATGCATTCCTGTGCCGCCTGAGAGCATACTTTGCAGTGTTCTTGTGATAACCTTGTAATTGTACATTTTTTTCATGCTCGTAATAATTTAATGAGGTTATAGCCCAAAATGCCATGAAAAATGTTTGCACTGTGCAAACATTGAGTGTTCAGTGACAACTTTGATTATCATAGCATGCTATTGAGCATCTGCTTCATTATGAACAATGGAAAGTGTTCGAATGTGACGTCAATAAGGCAACAATTTGAATGTTTGAGCGAGTGTTTACAGAACGTCAAATTTGATTTCAAATTTCAAGCATTTTCACACACACACATGCAAAAATTAGCGATGATTTTACTTTGCACATTTCATTAGCTAATGATTTTGAATATTATTCTAACATAAACAAATTACCCAAATATATTAATATAATTGATTGTAGTGTAAATAACCTTTATACCAATCTATGCTAATATCAAATGAAAACATGTTAGTAGTTTAATTCATCTGACTTTGTAGTTTATATAATTAGGAACAAGTTACCTGACAAATGCTGGTAAATAACTGTATGCTCTAGATGAAGTCATGTTATAAATAAATGGCAAATGCCTTGAAATGTCCTTAGTTGCCCAATCACTGAAATAGGTGTTGAGAAGCCCTTGGTCACCACCTAGAAATAATATAAAATCAATCATGACTGCATGTACAAATTGATCA